AAGAGAAGAAGAGATTGGATTTATACCCTGCCCTTCACTACCCAAAGGTGTCTCAGAGCGGCTTCCAATCTCCTTTCCCTTCCCCTCCCCACAACAGACACCCCATGAGCAGTGTTCCCTCTGAGCTGAGTTAGTGTGCGCTAGCTCACAGTTTTTTAGCCCCCAGCTCACACATTTTTGTCTTAGCTCAGGAAGGATGGCTTCAGAGCAAACTAACTTATGCGGCAGCCAAATCGCTCGCTCACAGCTTTAATGCCGGCAGCTCACAAAGTAGGATTTTTGCTCACAAGACTCCACAGCTTAGAGGGAGCATTGCCTGTGAGGTGGGTGGGGCTGAGAGAGCGCTCTATTGAAAACTGCTCCTGAGAGAACAGCTCTGATAGAACTTATCACTGACCCAAGGTCACACCAGCAGCTGCAAGTGGAGGAGTGGGGAATCAAACCCAGTTCTCCCAGATTAGAGTCCACGCTCCTAACCACTACACCAAACTGGCTCCCAGGGGGATAAATTCTGCCGGGGACAGCGACTGTGTGGGGTGGGGTGGGGTGGGGGACACATCCGGGGAAGGCCTCGGCCTCCGTGCCCCGGTGTCACCGTCCAGAGGGACTGGTTGGCCGTTTTGCGAGATGGGATTCAGATCCAGAGGAGCTCCCTTCCCACGTGAAAATCCATTTGATGCCTTCTACCAGAATCTTAACTTCTTTTGAAGAGTCTTTTCCTGTGGAAAGCATTACGGCTCAAAGTGGGCCCCCTCGATCCCTAGATCTTGCTGTGTGAAGTAAGCCACCGCTGCGCCGGGGAGTCTGTTAATCGTGGCTTTAAAAAAGGAAAAAGAAAAAAGTAAGGCTGATTTATTCCTAAAAGCCTTTATTCATGAGTTTGTCAGTTCAAAGGCCCAAGCAATGCTGTTTTGTCAAAGAGCCGGTTTCCCATAAACGGGTAAGTGTCACGGCTCCAGTGCCAAGCCTCGCTCAAAGCATCCTTTGATTCCGGCGGCACAAGGGATGGTACTGTGCGTGGAAAGAGATGCTGCGATTGTGGCCGGGGCCCACTCGGTTTGGCATGTCCAGATCCGTTCAGAAAGATCGGGTATTGTT